ATGACAAGCCTTGCAGCTGAGTTTCGATATCTAGACTCGTGTCATCTTTGAAGCGAGTGGTCTTGGTTGTCGTGGAGCGGAGATACTTTTGCAGTTGACGAAGTTTCACGGTAAGGAGGAAGAGTTTCCCGATGATTAATCCGAGGATTTTTGCCGGGCTGTAATCTCCTGAGCAGGAAGATCCATCCGCAGAAGATATGACGCATTTTCCGTAAAATCGTGACCAAACCCGAAAATAAAATCACAAAGTGTTTTCTTCAAAAAAATCAAAAAATGTCTGCCCGTGTGGCCGCATGCGCCACCATGTGGCGCACGATGCGTAATGCACGTGCGGCCATGCGAGCTCGCCACCGCAAAAACGGCCTGGTACGCAATGTGTTAAACACTGTATAAAGAGTTCGTGTGCTTTTTCTTCTCGAATTGTTTGTCTATTGCTATATTTAGCGGTTTGCAGAAGAATACATGTTTTCATATTCCGGCAAAGAGCTGCTCACGTTGGAAGGGGACTGAGCGACAAGCATACATCTGGACTGAGAGCTTAACGATTCCACGAGGTCACAGTTCCTCTATGAGCCATCCGAAAAACTGACAAAAGCAATAGATCAAGCCTCATACCCGCTACCGAGACTAGATAAGTGAGGAGAATTACTAAGAAGAAGCATGATCAAAAGGATTCATCAGAACCCGTAAGAGAATGAGAACGGACTACGGACACCCGATAGGCGAAAGGTTTTATTAAGAAGAAGAACGACCAAAAAGGTGACCCGAGCCTGGATAAGAGTATCGAACAGTACGGAGCTTTCCGAAAATCTGTTCAAATGATAGCAAAAATTAAGTGGGATGGACTTCATCGTATAACGAACTACATTCCACACCCCTCAAGCAAACCAAGATCGGAAGGAAAAATTTGTTGCGGGATTTTTTTCGAATAGCGGCAATCTTGGACGCCCTGTGGTTCCACAGATAAAGTTTACCGTTCAAGTGCCTTTAAACATTTAGAATCTTTAACTTTTCATCCCAGTTTCATTCCCTGGAAATTTGATGATATGAAGCTGGATCAGTGCTTCAGGCAAATCTCCACACCTTTTTGTCGGTAAAAGCACGGAAATCAATGATATTGTCTATCGAGAAGAGATCCTTAACACAGGTGTGTCTCCTGGAAGCAGGATCATCACAATCCTACTATCTTCCTACAGGAATGGGCTCGAGCTCAAGGATCAACACGAATCCACTTCTTTGTGACCAGAATCGGCTGTTTGTCTGCTAACATCCGAATTCTAACCTACTAGACTTCTCTGTTTACAGTTTCACTGAAAAGCTTCTAAAGAGATAATACGCTAAAAAGAACTATCTGAATGAGATCAATCATGCGTTGAACACCTCCATAGCACCATCGACCCGCCGACGAAACAAATCGAGCTGTATCAAAATTGGGGTAGCTACTTCAAAACCTCTTTGCATTATAAAATGTCATGGTTTGGTGATCAAACTAACTACCTTAATCTTTGTGGACAAGAAATTAAGTGTGGACGTGTTTTCCTGATGCTCGTAATTTTCGCCATCGTGCATATAATCCGCAAAGCGGTAGTGTGTGTTTGATTGTCTGACTTAAAATTCATAATTTCGCTCCCAGGAGTCGAATGGCCGATGTCGAATTTGCGATTGGAGCGATTGTGCACCAATTGCAGGAGCGACGGGAGATTTACACGGCCGACCACCGATAATTCGGCGCCATCAGCTCGTAAATCTCCCGTCGCTCGCAGCTCCCTGCCACAACGGCCAAGGAGGCACATCACGGCCCGAGCGATGGATCGCTTGAGAGATCCATCCAAAGTGCGAGCGACGGGAGATTTACCCGAGTGTGGCCGTGTGTATCGGTGGTCGGCGGTGTAAATCTCCCGTCGCTCCTGCACAATCGCTCCAATCGCAAAGTCTGACATCGGCCATTGGTGGCTATGGGCCAACACTTGACATGGCACTCAACAGGCTGCCCAACATTGTCCTCAGGCAGTTTCACCTTTGCGAAGATTTGTTGACCCTAGTCGTGATCGAACTATACATTCTTCAAGGCTTCGAAGGGGCGGGAGCAACAACTCCAGAGCGAAATGGCAGCACCTTTGGATAAAGCAGGGACGCGCTTTCGAAAATATGCAGCATGAAGCAGCAGTATCTTGTCCCATCCCTAACCTAATTCTGTGTTAACGTGTTGTAGTTAGCCCACATCCCGTGGGCACCACTGTCTTCTTCCGCGTCATGGCCACAATTGTGCCATTTGCTCGTTCAATTAGATCATTTTCGCGGTATCGCTGACGTCACGGAATTTCGAATTCTGTGCCGTCGACAAGAGCGCCTCCGGTCATCGCCCAGAACCACATATCCATTGACTGAGTATCGCTTCAGCGATAGTCTCAGCACGTTTGTCCGGTTCAGGAATATGCTCCTAAGTACTTTGTAAAGTAATTGATTACTGTGACGATATAACGATAGCCTCTGGTGGTTATTCCCATTTCTAGCAGGTCAACGCCCGCTATCTCGCATAACCTTGTCGTAACAATCAGCCTCAATGGGACACCTGTCCAGCAGTCTTTCGAAAAAAGCAGCGTGGCAGTCGCGCGTCCATTTCACGATATCCTAGCGCATCCCAGGCTAGAAGACGAGCTACCCCAACCGCCGAAATATCTAACGCGCGCCAAAATGACCTGCCATCATGCCCTGGTGCGCTTCTAGGAACGACTCGTGCCGCTTGGATATGGGAATCACGTCCCTCAATCATTCGTCCGGCCCAATGAGCTTTAACTTACCATCTTCGACGACGAAACCTGCTGACCAAAGGCTTATATCATGTCGCGAAAATTGTACCTCTAATCGTCGGTTGGCTTCTACGGCCTTTATGAGCTGTTTGAATTCGTTGTCCTGGCGTAGCTCCTCGAGCCACTCCGATTCACTGATCTTTGAGACAACTCTTTCATCTTCCGTGTGGGGAGGTTGCATAATGTCCGACTTCACTATGTCTCGTGACAATGCGTCCGCCACCGCGTTAGCCGTTCCTTTGATGTATTCAATCACTAGATCAAACCTCTGAGTCTAAAGCGCCCAGCGCAGAACACGTGGAGACACATTTGCACGCTTGAATAGAACATTGGCGTACCTTGGAGCATCCTACGTACACTGTGAACCTCTTTAAAACCTATCGCAGTCACTGCTTCCAAATGCGGAGCTCACAGGTTGTGGATGTATCTCTGCAGTTGGAAATATATCCCCTCGTTGGATGAGGAGATTCATCCTTAAGGTTGGGGATATGTCCCCAACCTAGGGGATATGTCACCAAGGTTCTCCCCGGTTTCGTCACAGAACCCATCATTTTTCGATGGGTCTCATGACGCGACCCTGCATCACTTCCGTCGATTCTCCGCGGCGGTATCTGAGGGGACGAATCCCCCTAGTCTCGACTCACTTCTAGTCTCAAATCCCCTCACCCAACGAGGGGATATATCCCCAAGGTTGGTGATACATCCCCTACCTTGGTGATACATCCCCAACCTTGGGGACATATCCCCAACCTCGAGGAGAGGTGATGGGTCACCATCCCCTCGTTGGTGCTCGCTGCACCCGGCCCCAGGCGATAGCTGAGAATACTTCCCCGAGGGCCTTATTACCGCGCAATTTCAAATTAAGAGCGTGGTGTCATCTTTGAGGGTGCGTAATTATGCATGGAGGTGATGGAAAGGATTGGTTTGGTTCCATAATTTTAACTTTTGCCTTTATGGGAGCGATAACAATGAAGAGGGTTCACACTGGGGGAGTATATGCGTCACACGACGCAGTTTCTTGGTTGCAAAAAGCGATGTGTGGCGCTTTCACGACTAAAGGTGCGCTGGTTGCTGAGCAGGACTTCGAAAGCACTCCGCCCCAAAAGCGATCCGCCCACTGGTTTAGTTGGTGATTTGGACGAGCTGTGCTGCCAGCAACGGTACAGTTGGAGCAACTCGACTGGAGTATGGATTGCATGGTACCACCAAACGGGTTGCGGTAAATCGTTCATACGTCGGCCGTCTTAGCCGCTACCTGTCCTGATCAACAGCCAAACAAGGGGTGCCCTTTTCGTGTTTTCCTTACAGATTTCTCAGCTTTTTAGCACTTTTGTACCGTGGAGCATCCCCCATCCCCTGAAAACCTCTCTTAGACCTATCGCAATAAACCTATCACTATTTTTAATGCGGAGTTCACGACGAAAATAAATCCAAGTTATAATAAAACTCATGCTATTTTCGAAAAAAAAATCCGCGACTGAACATACAAATTGAAAAATTGAATTGAAAACTACAGCAATACAGTAATAAGAAGCTACACGAGTAATAAAAAGTGTGAAGGAAAATTTCGTATGTCATTTCTGAGCGAACCCTACGACCAGTGTCCTCAGATTATCCATTTTACTGAGTGTACGTTTGCGTCCATAGCCTGCGATTCACCAGAGCGACTTGTGTTCGCGCCTCGCGCTTGCAAATCGCGTCACTCGCGCATGATCCTGCCACCATTCGCTGTGAGCATAGATTGCAATATCGCAGTAATACTCGGCAATACTGCGTTAGTGGGCCCTTGTGCACAAAATAAATTCTATGCTCGAGTAATGACTCCTCGAAAACGGCCACGCACTGTCGCCTGTGTTCTTTGATACTGGGATTTCACTATAAACATTCCGAGTCAGTAGTATCTCAATCGTTCGAAGAAATCGCAGGGCATGCACGAGGGCGCTGGAGGATGCAAAAGAAGTGACCAGACACTAATCTGTTGCCAGTCAAAATTACGAATCCGGTATTAAGGTACCATGGCATTGGGTAGTGAAACCTGACGGACTTGGAGCGGTGACGTTTGCCAAAAGCCAATATCTGTTCAATGACCTAACCTGAGTGTCTTCTCTTTCCTTACGGCTGAGAGCTTTCAGGTTGTACACAAATCAAGACTCATTGTTTCAAGTTTATTGGAAGACTTTCCAGCTGGATTTATGGTGTAACACAGAGACCATCATCTTTGTTACATTTGCAGCCCTCACAGTTGCACTTCGAGCACGGTTCTCCTACTTCGTAGATCGGAGCTCCAAAGTAGTTCCCCCTGGAAGTCAGTTTTTGAGACTGAAGAGTTTATAGAGGCAAGCAAGACTTACTGCTACACAGGTGGACTTACGTTGGCTTGTATTCGCACCCCACAATCGTCCTTTTTTCACACCACTGCACTCCACAACCAATCTTGTTACTGTTATGCCAAGCTACCTGCAACGACCCTACTACAAGTTGTCGATTGTTATTAGAATTGCTACAAATATTAGTTGTCACCTGAGAGTAATGGCCGACGCCTTTTTCAAACACCTTCGCGGAAAGTATGTTATCCTGAGGAACACCACGACTTGCCAATTCGCTGAACCACGCTTCGACACTCTTAAATGGACAAGACATTGGACAAGACATCCTTTCAATAGAAGGCTTGAATGGACTCAATGCTCTCACCTGTTTTGCCATTTTCGTCTTATTGAGGCCCCCCGCTCTTACTGCATATAAATTCTGTCCCCAACCTTTTCTGGCCTCGTATGATGAATGCGCCCATATGCATTGTTTTAACCATTCCATCATGTTTTCTTCAACTTCGCAGTCGTAGCTCTGCAACAGTCTTTCGGCTATATCACTTTTTTCCCAACTTTTCCAATATAGAATGATCCATTTCTAGGCTCCTTATTTCGAACTGAACATGGAGATTCAAAGCGGCTAGGCCAAAAACGAGATCGTCGTACCACTTTCAGCATATTAGCTGCCTTCGGAGCAAATCCACCTAGCGGATTCTTGGCAAGTCCTCTGGCAATGATAGATCTGAAATACTTTCGATCATTGAAGAATTGATCTATATTCCATTGTGGTTGCATTACAAAATCGAACCGGATCTCATTGTGCTTGTCAACAAAGATCTGTCTGATATCGTCTGTCATACCATTATTAAGAGAGCAGTGTGCTGCTGAAATAGTGTTCTGTTGAACATCAAATTCGAACTAGAGCAGTAGGAAACCATATGAAACTTGAAAAACGCGAACCTGTTTCTCCTGTTGCTGGTTTGAAGCACCTGAAAATATTTTTAAGCAGGTTCTCGAAGTGATATCAATGAGCAGGTATAAATTTTGGCTCACCAGGAGGGAAATTGCGAGAAGTGCTAACATAGTTGTCAATGTGAATGCCTCTCGTATTCCTCCCACCCCTTTTATATAGCTGTTCCAGTAGCCGAGGGCGTCTATGGCATACCGAATTCTATAAACATCATTGTCCTCACCAGCCATCCAATAAGTTTTATTTATTATTGAATTCAAAGCACACCACATTAACGAATTGTTTGCTGAAATGTGAGGTTGCCAAAAACTGAATTATCCTTCTATCATTAGATAGAAACAATATTTGTAGAGACAGCAACTGCGAAGTTCGTATCGGAGAAGTGAATGCTATTTCTAGAACGCGCTCTGCCATTCTTCACTCGAACGGGGAACGTCTGTCTCGATAATGTTGAGCGAATGTGCATGATCTTCTATGATCACTACAACAAGGAATGAAATGTGCATTGGTTAAAGTCGTACCGGCGAGGCTGTGGATCAATGATTCTTGCTCCAAATTTCTACCAACTGCAGAACTTTTTATGGTCTATGGCATTATTCATAGGAGTGAAGGAATTTTGTAATCGTCATACCTGTTTCCCTCCAATAAGGAACCACGTAGATAGCCAGCTTTGATGCCACAACGCTGTAGTGTCTTGAATGCTAGTAGGATTTCTGAAAATTCTGAAAAGATGACACATAGATATTTCGCTTTTCCGTCGTCATCCTTCTGGCAGCACCGTGCTTCCTTATTTGTTTTCAATATCTTGAAAGATTCTATCGCATGAGTCGGTGAGGGAGCAGATGTAACTATTTGACAAATACGGTGGAATGTCAGAAGAGTTCACCAAAACAATTTTATAATTCTTCGACCATGTTTGAACATTGACATTGTATGTAACCGAGTGTTTGATATTCGAGCTAGATGATATTCGGAAAAACTGAAATCTCCACATTATCATTGAGTCCTTAATGCGCGAACAACCTTTTCAGTGGATACTTCGGACCACCATTGTATGATATGTACTATACCCTTAAAGTTACCGTGTCCCTTAAAGAGCATAGTAGCTCCAAAAACTTCGGCTACACAAACGTCATAATTGCCTACAGCTGGCACAACACACGCGGCCATTCTCTCCTTTATTTGCAGAACTATTTTGCACTTTTCCGTATTAAACAATGGAACAATACGAAATAGAGAATGTATGCTGTTAGACACTCATGATGTTTCTTTATCCATGCTATGTGATAGTTGAATTTGTATTTTTATAGCTTCCAAGATGAGAAATAATGCAGGGAAATTTCGAAAGACGACGAAAGCACTGGCACATTTCGATAAGTATCCCCTTTACGCTATGACTTTGTTACTTACCTGGAAGGTCAACACAGTTTGATCTGTCCATATGTCATGAAGATCTGTCCACTTGTGTTGAGACGCTGAGCTCAAGGCCTCTTTCATAGCTACAAAGCAACTGTTCTTGGGTTGATTTAGAAACGAAAGAAAAGCTATACAGAAAGTATGCGCAGCGCTGATGCACGAATTCGCGCGCAAGATGATGTAGGATTGGTTTCTTGTGATGTCGCTGTTGTCTTTGTACTGTTCCCATACTCTTTGGGTGCTATCCTTGCGATTAAATTCAACTGCAGTGATGGTAAAAAAAAGAGCCGTAACTTCGTTTAGGTCATCTTTTAGCAACAGGGAAAGCAGCACCTTGCTCACCGTCTCAAAAAATGTACGAGTCCATACTTCACCGCAAATGGTCGGATCGACTTGATGACCTTTCCTTGCAAGGATGTCATCACTAACGCAGGCGTACTCATTTCGCTCGAATGTTACAACATTCAAGCAGACACCATCGTTTCCCCCCCCCCCCCCCCCGCCCCCTTTAAGGCTATGTACTGAAAAAAACACATGCTATAATCATATTGGGCTGTCAAGGACTCCTGCGACACTTTGAACAAACTTCCCTTGCAGAGAAAAAACAAAACTTCTTGGCCATTCCGCCATTCAGCTACTGTATTGTGCTGTATCTTCCGGAGGTTGGAAGAAGCAAATACAAGAGGGGGAAAAAAGGTTATTTGCCCATGTCGCAATTCAGCGTATTTTTCGTCGCGGAGATCGCCGTCGTTAGCGAAAGGTTTCCAGTAAAATATTCCTCAAATGTCCCTCTTTCAGCGAACGTATACCCTCCTTCATCACCAGAATATGACAATCTACTATATCATATTTCGCTAACGACGGCGATCTCCGCGACGAAAAAATACGCTGAATTGCGACATGGGCAAATAACCTTTTTTGCCCCCTCTTGTATTTGCTTCTTCCAACCTCCGAAGATACAGCACAATACAGTAGCTGAATGGCGGAATGGCCAAGAAGTTTTGTTTTTTCTCTGCAAGACAAGTTTGTTCAAAGTGTCGCAGGGCTCCTTGGTAGCCCAATATGATTATAGCATGTGTTTTTTTCAGTACATAAGCCTCTAACGATGGTGTCTGCTTGAATGTTGTAACATTCGAGCGAATGAGTACGCCTGCGTTAGTGATGACATCCTTGCAAGGAAAGGTCATCAAGTCGATCCGACCATTTGCGGTGAAGTATAGACTCGTACATTTTTTGAGACGGTGAGCAAGGTGCTGCTTTCCCTGTTGCTAAAAGATGACCTAAACGAAGTTACGGCTCTTTTTTTTACCATCACTGCATTTGAATGTAATCGCAAGGATAACACCCAAAGAGTATGGGAACAGTACAAAGACAACAGCGACATCACAAGAAACCAATCCTACATCATCTTGCGCGCGAATTCGTGGCATCAGCGCTGCGCATACTTTCTGTATAGCTTTTCTTTCGTTTCTAAATCAACCCAAGAACAGTTTTGTAGCTATGAAAGAAGCCTTGAGCTCAGCGTCTCAACACAAGTGCAACAGATCTTCATGACATATGGACAGATCAAACTGTTGACCTTCCAGGTAAGTAACAAAGTCATAGCGTAAAGGAGGAACTTATCGACATGTGCCAGTGCTTTCGTCTTTCGAATTTCCCTACATTATTTCTCATCTTGGAAGCTATAAAAATACAAATTCAACTATCACATAGCATGGATAAAGAAACATCATAATTGTCTAACAGCATACATTCTCTATTTCGTATTGTTCCATTGTTTAATACGGAAAAAGTGCAAAATAGTTCTGCAAATAAAGGAGAGAATGGCCGCGTGTGTTGTGCCAGCTGTAGGCAATTATGACGTTTGTGTAGCCGAAGTTTTTGGAGCTACTATGCTCTTTAAGGGACACGGTAACTTTAAGGGTATAGTACATATCATACAATGGTGGTCCGAAGTATCCACTGAAAAGGTTGTTCGCGCATTAAGGACTCAATGATAATGTGGAGATTTCAGTTTTTCCGAATATCATCTAGCTCGAATATCAAACACTCGGTTACATACAATGTCAATGTTCAAACATGGTCGAAGAATTATAAAATTGTTTTGGTGAACTCTTCTGACATCCACCGTATTTGTCAAATAGTTACATCTGCTCCCTCACCGACTCATGCGATAGAATCTTTCAAGATATTGAAAACAAATAAGGAAGCACGGTGCTGCCAGAAGGATGACGACGGAAAAGCGAAATATCTATGTGTCATCTTTTCAGAATTTTCAGAAATCCTACTAGCATTCAAGACACTACAGCGTTGTGGCATCAAAGCTGGCTATCTACGTGGTTCCTTATTGGAGGGAAACAGGTATGACGATTAC